GTGAACTATGGATGCATCCTCGCCGCTTCATTGATCAAATACAAGGCGTATGCCTTGGGATGCAAGGCGAGCTCGTCACTCATTGGTGGTTTCCTCACTCCCTTATTCATACAAGCCGGCGTCCAGCTTCAGAACTTCACTCCCATTCCGAAAAGAGCCTTGATGGACGAGACATACCTAAGGAACACTGATAGCTTGGGACGCACGCCAGCCGAGGGTTTCTTTGAGTACTTGTTCGTTGATGAGGAGAATGAGAAGAGGACATGCATCTTGCCAAACCAAACCGAGACCGAGCTGTTGGGCGTTGGAAACATCGAGTTTCTCCTGAGTAGAGAGGAGTGCTTTGCTCCTCTAGGAGCCGCGGCAACAATTCACCAGGCTACTCGCCCAAGATCAGAGTCTCCAGCCACGGACGATGAGATGCCCGAAGCCTTTGTCCTTCCCAAGCTTGACTTTGAGCCGCAGACCAAGACAGAAAAGTTCTTTGCTTCTGTTGTGGATATGCAAAGGAAGATCAACAAGTGGAAGAGCAAGGTCATCAAGAAGCTTGCCAAGAAGGTCAAGGCGCTTCAAAGAGGTTCACCAAAGCAGGCTGCGAGTGAAGAGGTTCAACAGCCCGAGAAGAGAAGGCTTTCAACCGGTGGAGTTGTCATCCGTGAGACTCAAGGCAGCAACATTCAACCGGCGCGTCTCTCTCTCTAAGAGCCAGGCTCCAAAGGCAAAGCCATAGTATCTAGCTCTTCTGGAACATCCTCAAGTTCCAGCCAAGACTAGACCCGAGGTAATAACCATCTTCCATTGTATATACCATTCATGTTCTCTCTATTTTTGCTTTGTGTTTTGAGCTCTCTCGAACATGTTTGCCACTGGGACGGTGTCATTCAAGTTTGGGGGAGTATGTGTGTGGTTTGACTTGTTTATATTGATCTTATTTTATCTTTGCATCTCTTGAGTCTTGCATGCATCTAAGGCATAGAAAAGAAAAGGAAAAAATTGGTAAAATTTTTAAAATTTTCAAAAAAAAATTCATGTAGTTGTATTCATCTTGTTAAGCATTTTAGGATTGAGTCTAGAATTTTTAAGCATCTAAGTTGTTCTCATTTGCATAAGGGCTTAAAGTTTTCTTAAAAAGGTGTTTTAAGCTTATGAATGGTTTCAATATCCTAGTTATTAGTTCTTTAATGCTTTGCTCACACTTTGAAAGTAAGTTCTTACCATACTTGGATCACTTGTTTTGATTTTCGTGACTTGAATTGAACTCTCATGATTTGAAACTTGTCCTAATAAGTGAAAACCTTAATCTGAATTTTTAAATATCATTCTTATGCACTTGAAAATAAACACATGGATCTTAAAAATATTTAGGCTCTCTTCTCCCTTTTACCACTCTTTGTGAGCCTAAGTAGAACTCCCACTATCACCCTTACCTCCCTTTGAAGCCAAGTTTTCGTGTGTGACATCATTGTGAGGCCTCTTTCGGTTTGAACTTAACATAACGTGTTACGTTTAGGCGACATGATTAGGTTCTCATATGATTGCTAGCTTTGCATTTTGAAGCTAGATGTAGGCTTAAGATAAGTTTGGGGGATCATTGGGGTTGCTTTCTTGTTTATATGCTTTCGGTTTCAAAAGAGTTTGGTATTTGAAGTGAGCAAAAAGGTTTTAAGTGAAAGGTTTTGTGTTTAAAATGTCTATTGCTCTAATAATTTCAGAAGATAGCTCTCTCAAAATAAAAATAAAAAGATAAAGAAAAGAGCCTAAGTGCCAAAATAAAAAAAAAATAAAAAAATAAAAAAAGAAAAAAAAGAAAAAAAATATATATGAGAGCTATCAATAAGAAAAAAATAAGGAGCCTAGTATTTTCAAACCTTTTCACTAGCCTAAAAGAGTTAAAATGTTTTCTGTTTTGATTTGGGGATTGCTAAGCTTTTGCTTTGGAGAAAAGGGTAGACTCTAGGATGGTGAGTGAGCTTAAAAGAAAATAAATGAGAGGGGTTTTAGGATCATTGTTAGTTTACATGGGTAGATGAGAATCTGATCATGTAGGCATCAATTGCCTTTACCTTTAGCATTATGCATAAAGTTCTTACCATTTTTGAGAGAAACCCTTGCTTTAAATAAAAACCCATTTTCAAATGAGATCATTCTATACTCATAGCCTTAACCCTTAGCCAAATGTATTTTGCTCTAAAGTGCATAAGTTTGATTCATGGTTCGGTCTATAATTAATGTTAAAGGATGAGTTTCTTTGATTGTTTGGAACAGGAGAGTCATGATTTGAAATTCTTTGTGTGATGAGTATGGCTAAGTTCTTTGGAGTATGAGCGTGTGTATTGCATTTTAGAACTAGTAACTAGGACGTTGAGATTGATTCATTTGAAAGATACCTTTGCGAGAAGCTTAAACCCCCGTTTGTTTTAAAACCTCTCTCCCTTCTTTAATTTTGTTTGCTTGAGGGCAAGCAAAATGTAAGTTTGGGGGAGTTGATATAGCTGCATATTCCACGCATTTTGCATACATATAAGTTAGTTTCTCACGCATATACATTGCATTTTAGACTAGTTTGCATCACTTTAGGTCCTAGAGTATTCTTGCACCAGCATATGCATATTTCTTGCATTTTGCATCACATACAGGTTGTTTTCGGCTACTTTGGAGTCTTGGAGAGTTCTTGGACGTGCTGAGGCTCGTGAGGAGGTTCGTGGGACTTGGAGGATTCAGGAATGCTTGCTAAGGACCAGAGATCGAGAAGCGGATCGAGCATGGCCGGTCGATCTAGATGAGATCGACCAGAAGATCGAGTAGTCCAGCCGATCCAAGGGAACCAATCGAGACGGAGATCGAGTGAAGAAATTGATCAAGGAGTACGGACGTGAATGACGCCATGTCGAGCGAGAGTCGGATCGAGTCCACCACTCGATCCTCTAAAGATCGACTCCAAGATCGAACGAAGCACTCGATCCGCCGAAGAAGATCGAGACACAGATCGAGCTGAAGGCACGATGTCCGAAGATGATCAAGCGAGACGCTCGATCTCGAAGTCGATCTCAGTGCACTTTAACCGTTTTTGGCCGCTAGCGAGGGGGGGACCATCGAGCTGGTTGGCCTATTTTGGGAAGGCGGCGATCATGCTTTCAGGCACACATTTTTCACTTTATCATTTTCATCTTTTTTTTTCTCTCGGTTCGAAGGCGATTCGCCATTGTTAGACTTTGAAGCTTTTCTTGCTTTGTATTGAATCTTTGAATCGTTTAAGTTTAAATCCATCATTCTTTATGTCTATCAGTTCGTCGTTTATGCTTTGCTTGGTTTACCTAATGTGTAGTGAGTAGTTTAATCGGGTTTTGGGGTTGAGAGGATTCAAAGGGGTCGAAAAGGTTTTCCAGTTTGGTGTTTTCTTGTTCTTCATGGCTTTCTCTTCTAGGATGTCGAGTTCTTAAGGCCTAAAGAGTCTCACGCCAAGATCTTTATGATCAGAGAGATCTCTTACCTTGACAGGTTCCAGAGATCTCTGAAAACCGCATCCGAGAGACTAGTTACCCTTTCTCAAACGCCATGGTAGTTTAGAGGACTAGTTAAGCCGCGTGTTTGAAATCTGAATTCCTTGCCCTTCAATCTCTTTTTCCGCCAAACGCCATGGGTCTGGAGGAGAGAATGAAGGAGTGATCCATACCACACGTCATGGATGGATCTTGTTTTGTTTTCAAGGCTTAGGGAATCTCACAAAGTGAGTAGATCTAGAGTTTTCAAACCAAGCTTGAACCTTTGAGACCCTTGAACATGAATCTCAACCCTAGACACTCTTTCTTAGTATTCTTACATCTCTGTTAATTATTCGCTTGTTATCTGTTGCATACTGGTCATTAGTTTCGTTGCATTTGAACTTTTAGACGAGATCGATCGTTGTTGCTCGATCTAGTGGTCGATCCTGTGGTCAATCCACTAGTCGATTTTTATAAATTCATAGCTTTGCATTTTAATCATTCTGTTTGTTCGTCGTGGTAGTTCACTCGTTCCTGGTAATTTTAAAATAGTTTTGCTTTGCATTTAGTCGTTGCATCTAGTTTTTAGAATTTTCACAAAACCGTTCATCATTTGCCTAGCTTTACTCGATCCTTGCATTCTCATTGCACTTTCTAGCTCCTAGGTTGGATTGATTCCTCTTGCTTGCTATACTACGACTGTGTGCTGCTTGTGTTTTGATAACCTCCTGTAGCATTGCATCACTCCCTTTTTACATTGTTAAAAAGATGTTATCAATTATCTCGATGATTATGAGCCAAAGATTGGTTGTCTGTGAAAATTCGACTTGTGCTACTCTGCTCAAACACACTATCACGTAGTCGCGATACATCACGTTTTGGCTCAACTCGACTACTCTGTTGGGAAGACTTGCTCGTGAAAAGGATAGTGGCTTGGATCAGATATAATATGAGCTTACATTTGATTATGTATGTATATAAAGTACATCTGTACATACACATTTTACTATGTAATAAATATAAGAATTACATAAACGTTTTATTATGTATGTACGTCTGACTAATTCGTGTACATATGTTATTTTTCTCTTAAATGTGCTTATATTTTAGTGTACGTATAACTAATTTGTATATGTAATATTTGTTATGTAGTTTTTGGATTTGACTGATATGTAGACTAAATGAACAGTTCATTAATGAAATAGCCAAATTAATAAGATAAAAAACTGAAAACTGACTAGATTTAAAATAATAAAAATTACTATTATTAAATAAATAACTTTTTGTATATACTAATCCTAGATTCAAAACATTTAGGATAGATTTAAAAATAACTTATTTTTTTCATTGTTTCATGTTTAATACAGTAGAATTTCTATAAATTAATACTCGATAAATTAATAATCACTATAAATTAATAACTTTTGCTGGTTCCAAGTCGGGCCAGTGTAAAAATTAGCAAATTTTGATAAGATAATAAGATAATATTTTTTTTGAAACTCCTATGTAAAAATATAGTCTCAAAGGTGAAGATCCGTGAGCTTAAAGATGACTACGCAAAGTTCGAGCTCCGCGAGACCGATGTATCCATGGCCAATGCTCTCCGTCGCGTTATGATCTCCGAGGTCCCCACCGTCGCAATCGATCTGGTCGAAATCGAGACTAATTCATCTGTGCTCAACGACGAGTTCATCGCTCATCGATTAGGTCTCATCCCTCTCACTAGCGAGCGTGCTATGAGCATGCGCTTCTCTCGAGATTGCGATGCTTGCGATGGAGATGGACAGTGCGAGTTCTGCTCTGTTGAGTTTCGGCTTAACGCTAAATGTGTCACTGACCAAACCCTAGATGTTACTAGTAGGGATCTGATAAGTTTTGATGCTACTGTTACTCCTGTCGATTTCTCTCTCGATTCCTTTGGAACTGACTCAAGCGAGCAAAGGTATCTCCTTTTCATCATGCTAAGACAATTTCTTTAGCTTGATTTACAAGGGTTACTATCTTTAAGATTTAGCCTCATTGCCCTGATGGAAAGATATGTTTTGTACGGGGTTTTTGTTGTTTCCAAAGCAACCCAGAGATGGAAAGTACTTCCTTTATGAATTTCGATGCTTTTGTGTTCGACTCTTCTTGCTCTTTGGTTCTTTTGATTTGGTATTTTGATGACTATTTTCTGCTTACTCATTCTTTTAATGACTGTTTGTTTTGGTTTCAGAGGAATTATCATTGTGAAGCTGCGCCGTGGACAAGAACTGAGGCTTAGGGCGATAGCTAGGAAAGGAATCGGGAAAGATCATGCAAAATGGTCTCCTGCAGCTACTGTGACGTTTATGTATGAGCCTGACATAATCATTAATGAAGATATGATGGATACTTTGACAGACGAGGAGAAAATCGACTTGATTGATAGCAGCCCGACCAAAGTTTTTACGCTTGATCCGGTCACCGGACAGGTTAGTTTAGACATTGTGGATGAATGTCCTCTTATCAAGTTATTGGCTTTCCATGCTTTGAAATATATGATATTTGGTGTATGAATCTTCTCTAGGTTGTTATATTTACTACCAAATGTTCCCATTGCTTGTGATATTTTCAGGATAATTACTTAAGTCAGCTGAATGAATCAAATCAACTGCTAGTCTCTTAATACCAAATTGAAACATCTTTCTATGTTAATTCACTGCAAAATTATATAAAACGCCAATGGAATGGATGTCATAAATGTCAGGGAAAGGGGATTTAGAAAAAAAAAAATGATAAATTAACTGAGTACCAATGTAATTTGTATCACTAGGACTTGCTACAATAGAAGTATCTTTGATTGACTACGAAAGAACATTACATTCTAAGAAGCTTTTATGCCATTTCGTTTGCAGTCTTTTGTTTGAATTCTCCTAGCTATCAAATTAAGCTTTTGCTATCATTATCATTGTTGTTAATCATACTTTTCTTCTTAGGTTGTGGTGGTTGATCCAGAAGCATACACTTACGATGAAGAAGTGATCAAGAAAGCAGAAGCCATGGGGAAATCAGGGCTCATTGAGATCCGTCCGAAAGACGACAGTTTTATATTCACTGTTGAATCCACTGGTGCAGTGAAGGCTTCGCAGCTGGTTCTGAACGCCTGTCCCAATGTTCCAACTTCGAAGTTATCCGCCTCTAGACACAAAATGTGCACTGAGTGCGGGTACAAAGGAGCCCGCAAGAAGAACTGTTCAAAGCGCTGAAAGCCACGACCACCGAACCCCGCTCACTGTCCTGTCACTCGCTCCATGTCTCGCCAGCAAGATGACAGTCAGACCTCTGAAACAGTTAGGGAAGTCGGTATTAGGTTTAGTTCCGAGTCTGAGACCAAGTCAAGGTAAGTATGGGTGCTAACTCAGATCTCTTGTGTGTGTTGTGTGAGAGTCCATAGATCTAGGATGTTTGGTAGAGTTCGATCGCTTCTTTGCGAGCGAGCTTAGTAAGAATTTCTCGGTAAGTCGGTTTCGGAAGAGAACGACTTTACCTTGAAGCTTCTTAGTAAGTGAGAGTTAGGTTCCCGGTAATGGAGATAGGAAAATCAGTTTCCCGTTTAGTCCGAACCTCTAGGATTTAGACCAAGGAGATCTAGAGGAATTTGAGAAAAGGACCGAATGGAGGTATGCTAGCTGTGTAGATCTGGAATGAGGAAGAGACAAGCTACGCAAACAAACGGACAGACCCGAATCAAGAAAAAGGAAAACAGAAAGCCGACCTTGGAAAGCCGAAGGAGAATAACAACATCCAGAAAGATGGCGGTATTAGACAAAGTGAACGGCAGAATAGTGATAAATAAGGACCCAAGATTACAACACCAAATAGAGATGTTAAAAAGAGACACTAAGTAGAAAGACAGCCAGAAATCCAAAAGGAGTTGTTTAGAAGAAGATGATTCGGGGACGAATCCTATTTAAGGAGGAGAGAATGTAATATCATGTTCAGACGCTATCAGACCCGATCAAAGTTTCAGGCCGAACGACCCTTTGTTAAAATTTTTAAAATTATGGAATTAATCATAGAGGTATCTATTACCCTGAGGAAGACCATTCAAAAAGAATCAGTCCAAGAAAAATTATTCTGCGACCTATAAAATTCGCACAGTACGATAGATGTTCAAGTGCCGCGGAATGGGTCAGTTGAAGGGAAAACTAGCTCGGTTCAAAATCCAACAGCTCGGGTGTCTAAGCGACTTTAACTAAGCCTAAGAGGAGTCTATCCACCACCTAATATGGCCAAGATCTCAGAGAAAAAAAGAGGAAATACATGGGTCCGAATTCATTGTCTATTTGGTCCATTTCCGCTTAACTGAAGACCAAATGAATGATTCTTTGTCAACCAAGAGAGAGGGCCGTCATTATGCAACACTGGAAGGCTACACAACCTAAGTAGTTACCATGGGTAATGTTTCAGCTATAAATACCGCCCCCTTCCCTCTCATTACCATTCCCACTCCAAAAAGCCTTTCAAACCTTAGAGAGAGTGTGTGAGGCGTGTAGAATAGAGAAGCTTAGCTTCGGTAGGCTGCTTGGTAATGTAGTCTGGTACCATGTCCAGTTCGAGGCGAGTCCCGGTAGTGGTGGACTATCGCGGTTGCTGTTTGTGGTGCAGTGTAGATCTCGGATCTGCATTGTAACACAACACTAGCCTCGGTAGATTAGGTTTTATGCTTGTGTGTATGTGTGTGACTAACATGTGATGCAGGGAAGCACGGATCTGTATAGATCCGAGTGTATACTAACGTTTTTATGCAGGAACAGCCTCAGATCTGGTAGATCTGTGTGCTGCGAAACCCGTTGGGTGAGGTAACGGTTTCATGCATGTCTGTGGGACATGTTATCATCCTTACCGAGTGATAAGAAGGATGTAAGGACTGCCGGATCTCAGATCCATTTGCATGTTCCTTCACCGGATGAGCGAGTGTGCGATTTATGGTAAAACACGCTGCATGGCTGGAAGGTCATGTAAGTGGAGTTATAATAAACATGCATGAGCGAGGTTCAAGCGTGAAGCTTGTAACCGTAAACGAGAGTTGGGACTAGAGAAGTTCTTGCTTTGCCGTCACTCTAGGACGCTAACTTCTCGGAGGTTGTGTGGAGGTGTGTTGGCATTGATCAACTGTGGATCAACGCGGGTGTGAGGTATAATGTCGTGAGATCCATTATACTGCAGAGTCATGCTGTTGGTGTATCCTTCATTACTTAGTGACGGTGTGGTCGGAGTTCTCTGCTTCACATGTTTAGCGATAGACTGCTAGATTGGAAGACTCGGAGGAGTAACGGGCCCTTCTAGCCTGGCCGAGTACTATTCGACGGGATAGTGGGAAACCAGCAGTGAGGCATGGTTGTTCCCGCCTGGGATGTGAAATCACTTGGCGGCTCTCGGATGGAAACCCCACCGAGATGTGAACAAACTGAGGAGCTCCCGGGGTAAACGATGTTCCGGCTTGTCTTATCTGTGTGATAGCCAAGTGCAGGATGTTCGTAGTAGTGATGTTCCGGCTTGGCTTGTCTTTGTGATAGTCAAGTGCAGGGTGTTCGCGGAGGGGAACTGGCCGACCCCCTTAGAGATCTCTGTGTCCACGTGAGTGTGTGTGTGGGATAAAAATTAGGATAGCGCTTGCATATAGATCTAGGATTGCATGCTTCGGCTATTTATTCTTTCTTGCTCAGCTATCTCTTGTTGTTTGGGGTTTTTTGGGGTTCTCGGGGTTTTCTTTCTTTTAGTGAGTCCTGGACTCACTGAGTAATCTTAGATTACTCATCCCTCCTTTCTCCCTTGCAGGAAATCTTAGTAAGCCATCGGGAATTAGAGGGTGCTGTAGACGTTAGGTCCACTGGAGTATATTTGGTGCATTTTGTAAAATATAGTAAGTATGTTTTGTACAAGAGTTTTTGTATGATATTCGAAATCTCAGACGGATCCGCTATGTACTAAAAATAAACTCTTTGTATTATGTATGTTTCTTGAAATAAAAGAGGATTTTTTATCTACAAAACCCTTGTGTCTTCCGCTGGTAAATGGCTTAGTCCGAGTCTACACAACTCTCGGCTGGAGTACGGGTTGGCAAGCCTTAGGCTTCAGTCGGGAGGGTCAAGCTAACTTTCCGAGACGGACTTAAGCTTAGATGTATTCTAAGACAGACTAACCTATCGAGTGAACCTCAGCATTTTGTAGCGTCTCCGGTCGGGACTGGTCCTATTCTGAACCGGATGTGTTACAAATGGTCGTATCAGAGCATTGTTTCTGTATCATGCTTTCCGAAGCAAGGGATTTTTCAAAAATGTTTTCAAAATGTTTTATCGAGTCAAAAACAAGTCGCAAAAGCACCATTAGGAATCCGGTCATGTCCACAAAGTAGGTCTAGTTGGGGTATTGGGAAAAACCTTTTTTCCATTAGGATAAACCTAACCGTGCAGATTCTTGTATTGGGGAAAACCTTTTTTCCAATAGAATAAACCAAACCGTGCAGATTCTTGTCAAAAGACAGAGATGGTGCCGAGAGACTGGTAGGGTGAGAGATACTAGGAGAATTCGTGGTTTAGTGGAGGATCTGAGTCAGACGGTTCAGACTCATCAGGAGACTCGAGTTCAAACGAAGAACGTTGCCTCGAGATTACTGATTACGACACCTATGCGGGACAAAGCACCGTAGACGGAGAAAATCTGGCGGATCAGTTCACATATGTGTTCGGCCAACAGTCATATGGAAGGACGGTCGGAGAAGAAAATTACTATACTGAGGTACCGATACCAAACTCAGGTCTGGAAACCATCGTGCCATCGACGGAGATTATCGAGATCTCATCCGGAGAAGCTACGCCAAACTCATGGGATACGAACAGCCCAACCAGTCCGTTACCTAGCACCCCGATGCCACATGTATTCATACCAGGATACGGCTTATACCTGTACATGCCTACGGAGTTCAATCCAGTCGACTATGTGTACCCTTTCATTGTCACGAGAACAACACTGAGGACATGATGACAACAGTCTGAGCGAATCTCGCGAGATGGGGAGGCCAAGTTGAAAACGCTGACCCTAACAAACGAGTCTATAGAGGAGATGGATTTGTAGATCCAAGGTATTCACCGACCCGTTGGATGGAAGGAACTATGTGCATCCCAACAAGCCCATGGGAGACCGTTGAGAATCCAGCCGACGAACACAGTGGGACGAACAAAAATTCGGAGAGTTATCCGAGAGTTTCTATGATATAAGCGAACTATTCGGACAACCGTTCATACCCGAAGCGAATCTCCGCGGACCAAACTACAAGGTGTCTCCAGACGAAGTAAAAGAAGGAAGTGGACTCAACGCCAATGAGAGCATGAACCCGACCCCGATATACGAGCAAGGCGAATCAAGTCGAGGAGGAAGACCTCCCAAGAGAACTCCTCGTATGAGCGTTCTGCCACCCGAAAGGATAATGATGGGCATACGGTGTAGCGAGTGTGGGAAACATGGAAATTTCCCCCACGCCTGTCCCAATGTTCCGACTTCGAAATCGTCCACC